TTTTTTGCGCTATGTTAAACAGGACCGGCATTAACATTTTGTCACTTCTTGTAATTTTTTGGAAAATATTTTTGATACTCAAATCTCATAATCGCCTTATGGTAGCATATATTATTTTACTTCATTTATTGTCAAGAGTCTAGGTTTTTCATTTTCTGCATTAAAGACGCCACACCCTGTATAAAATAAACAAAGAACAATCTAATAATTTATATGACCTATAACACCTATAATTTATAGTACTGAAAGGAAAAATATTGAATAAAGTGACTACTATCAATGGGGTGTATAACAGGGTATTATAAAGAAAAAACTTGCTTAGAATATAAAGAGGCATGAGATGTCTAGAAAATGTCAAAGTCGACTCGGAAGATAACTTGGTATTTTGACATTCATGAAGGTCAGTAATAGATGCATATTAAAAAGTAAAAATGCAAACCTAGTCTGAACGACGTACTAGGTTTCTTTTGTTTACAAAGTTCCTCCTCACTACAGTTTTATCAAAACAAATGAATTAAACTGCGCGACAAATGAATACGATAATTAACTAATTAATTTCTATTTCATTAAACATTAAACGAGTATTAATAAAACCATAACTGTGTCGCTCTCCGATTACCCTTTATTTATTTACCATACCGGAATTGATTGCTGGCAATCAGCCATCCAAATAATATCCGCACTTATCATATTATGTATTATCATATATCCATAAATTGAACAAATATTTTTTTCTAGAATACACAGGTATATTTCTAAAATTGCGACAGGATACAAACATGTTAACAACTGCAATTTATTTTTTCCAATCACAACTACATGTAGTGAGAGCAAATTGTAGGTATATAGTAGATAATAAAGTTATTACATATTTCGCAATAATTTAATTTCCAGATATTATATATTTTTAAAATATGTACTTCGAAGGAATATAAAACTTCAGAATTCAAGATTCAATTATTATTAATTATTGTTAAAATCTAATGGGAAATAAAAAATTTTAATAGTGTATAGGATCTTAAATATAAAACGAACAAAACAATAATAAAAACTCGCTCGCACTGAATTGAACAGATTTAAACTACAAATTATCTACAAATGATATTTTTTAAGTTCACAGAAGTAGGTACATATCACCCCGTATACTAATAAAATATAATTATAAAATATAACTGACACGACACTCAAGGTCTATGACTTATTAATATTTATTGTAATATATCATTTCTTATAAAAAAAGCACATATTACGGATACAAAATTTAATACTTCTCCAGGGCGTTTTTGAAAACGGTACCACATTTTTAGAATCTGATACAACAGAATATAATACAATTTTTCCCTATGGATGTCTTTTGTTTTTTTTTTTTTCAAAAAAATTTCGTACTAAATATCTTTTCCAAAAAACATTGTTACGCATTGAAATTTGGTACAGGTAATTGTTGAGGGTGTTAAATATGTCAATGTTATTGTTATTAGTTTTTGACCATCTGTCAGAGATTACTAGCTACGGCCTTACCCAGTGGCACAACTTTTTCGATGTAAGGCTTTTTGCAATGTATGTCATATATTACAATGTAACATTTCATTTTACATAAAAAAAATATATTAGTTTAAATCACTGAAAACCTATAATTTTCAAGAAAAAAGCAATAGACTGTCCCAAAATCAACCAACTTCACTTAGTAATATGCAGGTTATCCCGAAACAAATGGACCATACTTCAAGGGTAAGTTCTTTGAATGCAGATACACTTTTAGATCAAGTTACATTTTCAACGTACAAGCTTGAAATATAATTTTACTTCCTTAAAAAGGTATGTTCTTTTTACCGTTGATACCTTTTTAAGCAAGCAAAATTATATCAAGATTACTTGATCTAAAGATACATTTCTACTCAAGAAAGCTATCATTGAAGTATGACCCGTTCGTTTTCAGACACTCTGTATATTAAGGAACAAAAAAGCTGATTGACTTTGAAATAGTCAATTGTTTTTTCTCGACAAGAGTACTGTTTTTATGTAAAATAAAATTTTACATTATAATATCGGGTGTCCGAAAATTCAGGCAAGATTTAAATTTGGGTCATTTGTGGCGGTAAAATGTTGCCAACGAAAAAAAAAGACAACGTGACAGCTGACAATTCAGAGTTATTAAAAATAATGCGCTGCACGAAAGAACAACGCGTTTTTATTGTTGAGCAATATTTTAAAAATAATGAAGGTTCGGCAGTTTTCGTAAAAAATATGGTCGGGATACTGATTTAACTACAACTGTGAAGAGATTAATTCAAAAATTCAGGAAAACAAAATTAGTGATCTGAAACAGTGTAATTGTTTTGGTGATCAGGATCGGCATCCAGATTATGCAATTTAATGCTGTTGATTTTTTTTTTGAGTTTATTGAAGTTTAAAGTTTATGTCAATAAGCTCGCGACCATCCACGACTTGAAGGAGGAAATTGAGCACTGTATCAATAAAAAATGTACAATTTTTAATTAAAAACCTGTGTTTTCTCTCAAAATTGCTTTCTGTGTGAATTTTGGGACACCCTTTATATGTATAATATACACTGTAAAAAAAACTTCAAAAAATGTAACTGGATAAACCTATAACTTTCTACCTGGTCAAAAACCAAATACACTGAAGCATTCAGCAACTCCAAAGACTTACCTATATCAGATTTCAAAGCATTATGTTGTTTTTTTTTTGGAAAATTAATGCCAAAATTATAATTTTTTTAATTATTTGACGCCTTACATCTCCAAAACAAAAGACGGTAGGCTGACCTATGGTCTATAGTAAAAAATCGTGTTATTTTTGTATGATCTTGAATTGATGGTATAGTTTTCCGAAACCTCTTTCAATAGAGTCAAAATAATGGATTTGTTTTATTATATGAAATGCAGTCATGAAAGGATAAATGAAGTAACATCACAATGGGAGACATTAACAACAAAGTAAAAGGTAAACCGTATAATAGTATAAATTCTTATCCAATATAACCGCTTCGATTGTACAAAGGACCCCGCACGTTTCTTATGGGAAGTGGCCCTTGGTGAAATTTTCTGAAATTGATATATGTTGTTCTATTCGAGCTCCTGATCAAAAGTCTCCATGGGCACAAAGTGTAATAATAATAATGGACAGATTTCGAGATATAGGGGGTAGAAAGTGAAGTTCGGCATAACCTCCAATATAGAAATCGTCGGCCCTAGAATGACTTCTGGCTTTATGTTTGTGACGGACAGGGGTTTTAGTGATTTCCAAATTCTAACCTAATGTCGGAAATGACAATTGTCACTTCATAAGTGACACCCGATCATTTAAATGCATCAAAATCACTTAAAAAATACTGGTAGTACGCCCGGTCCAGCAGTGAGGTTAGAAAGTACTTTCGCTAAGGGCAGTTCGTTGACCATGGAAAGGTCCGTTGACTTGTATGACGGTATGCGGGGTATTTTGGGTCGCTCTAACCGAAAAAATGGTCGTAGACTGTAAATATGGTCCGTTTTTTTATTGGCCGTTTTTGTGAATTTTTTGCGGTTTTTCGTGTTTTTCTCTAATGAATCGATTTCCCTGGGCTAAATACTTCATACAAAAGTTATAGAGAATTCAATTCCGAACATTTTGGATTTTTTTCTCTAGCTACGTTTTTTTCGCGGGGAGGCTTAGAATGTTTTTAATCCGACTTATTGTTCATAACAAAATCTCACTCCAAGAGGGTGCTCACATTGGGACACTAAAGTTGCCAAAATGAACTCGATTAGGTACATAATTCACAACTTTCATGGAAAGTTTCCTGCCGTCATCCGCGAAAATCCGGGAGATCACTGAGGAAAACTGCAGGAAAAGTTAGGAATTACCCCCAGTGGGGTAACTTAGCTAAAGAAAAAAAATTCCAAAATGTTCGTAATTGAATTCTCTATAACTTTTATTTGAAGTATTTTGCCCAGAAAAGTCAATTTATTAGAGAAAAACACGAAAAACAGCAAAAATTACCAAAAACGGCCAATGAAAGCAATGGGACCACATTTGGACTCTAAGACCATATTTTTTCGGTTAGAGCGACCCAAAATACCCCGCATACCGTCATACAAGTCAACGGACCTTTCCATGGTCAACGAACTGCCCTTAGCGAAAGTACTTTCTAACCTCACTGCTGGACCGGGCGTACTACCAGTATTTTTTAAGTGATTTTGATGCATTTAAAAGATCGGGTGTCACTTATGAAGTGACAATTGTCATTTCCGACATTAGGTTAGAATTTGGAAATCACGAAAACCCCTGTCCGTCACAAACATAAAGCCAGAAGTCATTCTAGGGCCGACGATTGGAGGTTATGTCGAACTTCACTTTCTACCCCCTATATCTCGAAATATGTCCATTATTACACTTTGTGCCCATGGAGACTTTTGATCAGGAGCTCGAATACCTCCTCCTCAAAATAGCTCCTCCGTATAGCGAATACATATATCAATTTCAGAAAATTTCACCAAGGGCCACTTCCCATAAGAAACGTGCGGGGTCCATTTGTTAAGATATCCGATGAGATGAGATTTTTCTACGAATTTAGATCCAGTGCAATCTAAGTCAAATCATTTTCTCCGTCACCCAATTTTAATAAATTTGAAGCTAGACTACCTAGAGGTACTAGGTAGTACTGACGAAAAACAAAATATTTTGCTATTCCAGTTACCTACCTACGATTTTACCACTTCGTACGATCATATTTTTGTATTATTGTATATTTTTCAAAAATAAAATACGTTAAATATATTGATTTTATGTAACTTTCAGGTTCCAATACTAGCAGAAATGGAAACTATCACAAATATTTCTTCAACAGACTTTCCATTGGTAAATAAATCTTTGAATATAAACGATACAGTGGATACAAACGCCTCAGGAACAAAAGCTAGTTTCCTGCTCTACGATTATCTGATTCCAACTATCGGCAGCCTAATAATATTATTAAATCTGGTGGTCGTGATCTCCAGCGGCCTTATCTTAAAGAAAGGTAAAAATAAAATTTGACTATTTCCATTCATAAGTATTTCTACAGAATTTAATAATGTCTGTCCACTGATATGCAGACGTTAAACAGTTTTTTTTACAGTAAAATGAAGACCTAACTGAAAGAATCTTGTTTTTTAAATTGAATTACATAAACATAAATTAAAAAACTTTGAAACCAAATCATGTTTTAAACCTTTCACAAGTTGTACTTTAAGTAACCGAACTATTACTTTGACGGAAATGTTGAAAACCACAATCTGATCATCCGTAAACAAAAACATAAGTTATTCCATGGCCTACTTAACAGACTACGAGTATGATTATTTTTTAGAGAAATCAGACATTAATTTCAACTTCCGGCTTAGTCAGAATAAACAAAACATTTTTAATTTAAACGGCACTTCCTCTAGATATATATTTCTAATTTATCTTGAAATTCTCTCTTAAACAAGAACATTTTTTTAATGACGCGCTGAGAAAAACATATTATAACCTCTATTAAATTATTATACAGTACGAGACAATAATTGTTTATTAAGGTTGTAATAATTAAGGTTTATAAGGTTAAAATCAGTTTGTAAGTATTATATTATATGGAGTGTCCGGAAAATGTACATACGTTTAGCCAGAGATTCCTTGGCTTAGAATAATCCTATTTAACCCAACTTACCTATACCTACAATTGCTTAATTAGTTATTTAGGGTTTCAAATATCTTGGAAAATTTTAGTTCTTTTAAAATAACTCAAAAACCTGCCCATTGATTTAACCACTTTTCAGATGTGAAGGTCTACATCCAAATGAGGATTTTTGATATTTTCCAAAATAAATCCCTGTATAGTTTAATATAGTGTGAGATTACTTACATAAGTATATTATTACGGAATTATAAAAAAAAATACGATGCAGAACATGACTAATGACCTTCAGCGAAAATTGTAATAAGTTGAGTTATCTTAGGTATATGTATATTAGGGTGGCCCAAAAAAACGAATATTTTTTTCGTGTCTCTCGTGAAAATATGTTAGTTTATCATGTTTTAAGAGCCCCCTCAAAATATCAAGTCAAAAATTTCCAAAATCGTCAAAAATTGAATTTTTTAATTTTTTCTCGTTATTTTATCATTTTCTAGATTGAAAAAAATCTCGTTTCTGAAAATTTCAAATCGATATTTTAATTTCTAAAGGTCACTCATAATTATTTTAACTTTAAAAGTAGTGTATCTAAAATGTTTTCGAGCGACCTCTAAAAATAAATATCAACGAACTAATAATTTTTTTTATTGAATTTGATGAACAAAAGAACAGAAATAAATCACGAGACACTTAAAAAATTTCTCGAGGCAAAATTTACTACCGCACTGTGAGTATCAAATATTTATAATTTTTAATTTTTTAGAATTTAAGTGTCTCGTGATTTATTTCTATTCTTTTATTCATCAAATTCAATAAAAAAAATATTAGTTCGTTGATATTTATTTTTTAGAGGTCGCTCGTAAACATAGGTAAGTACACTACTTTGAAAGTTAAAATAATTATGTGACCTTTAGAAATTAAAATATCGATTTGAAATTTTCAGAATAGATTTTTTTCAACCTAGAAAATTATAAAATAACGAGAAAAAATAAAATTCAATTTTTGACGAATTTGGAAATTTTAAAAAATCCTGAGCGTACTCTAAAAAAATTTTTTTTGAGGGGGCTTTTGAAACATGATAAACTAACAAATTTTCATGAGACACGAAAAGAAAATATTCGTTTTTTTTGGGCCACCCTAATATACATATAACTAAGATAACTCAACTTATTACAATTTTCGCTCAAGGTCATTAGTCATGTTCTGCAAAATTTGAGTGTATTGCATAAGAAAAATTTTGTAGATAATGAGATTTTCTATCGAAATAGCTTATTTAAAAAAATCATTTACTGCAAAATATATTAAAAACAATTTAACAAAAAATGTAAAAAATTCAATTTTTTGTTTTTTTTTACTTTTATGCAAATAACTTTTATCTGAACAGAGATAGGTATAGGCATTGCTTTATAGAGAAAAAAGTATATAAAATTTTCTATAAAATGATGGGTTATAAAAGTTTTTTCGATGAAAATAGACTGAGTTATGGTCGTTCAAACTTTGCCATTTTTTTCGGTTTTTACTGAATTTATGACAATATTGATTATATATATCATTATCTACAAAATTTTTCCTATGCAATACCCTCAAATTTTGCTTCGTTTTCGAGATATACTCAAAAAACCGTAAGAGTTGCATTTTAACCCCTATCTCCAATTTCCACCCTCAAATTTAATAACACTCCGCGGTTTTTTTATTCTAAATAACCATTTGAACGATTCATGCAATAAAAAACCATCAACGTTGTAGTTCCATACCATATGACATAATCAATATCCTATAATATCAAATTATGATTTCTCATCTCAAAAAAAAAACCGGTTACCAAATTTTGTGCGAAAAATGTATTTTTCGTAAAAGTTATTTAAGAAAATCGAAAATAAAATTTTTATTTCAACACTCACAGAGGCATTTCCGGACAAAGGTTTATATAAACTTCCTTTCTTAGAATTAACTCAAGAATACCCCACTTAAATATTTTAACGTACTTAGGTTACACCCTATAATGATTTTCCATTTGAATTTATAACTGAAAAAATTATAATTTTACTCCATTCTATATTTTTAGGTCAACAACCTAGATCCACCTATCTATTCCTAGGTAACGTGGCGATGACCGACCTAGTGACAGGCGTCGCCGTGGTTTTTGGACAGGTCTATCCCAAAGATAAACGAGATCATTACCTCTGCGCTGTCCAATTAGGTACCTATTATACTTTGCAACGAAAGAATAGATTAAAATAATAGTAATGTTATAATTTTAGGTCTGATTGTTTCCAGTACTCTTACATCAGTTTATTCAGTGGGATTGATTGCGGTCGACAGATTTTTGTACATTCTTCATGGTATGCAGTACCAAAGATGGGTCTACCCAACGCGAGCCAGGCTGCTCATATGCGTCTCATGGGCCATTGGTAAGTGAAATTTTCGAAGAATTTTTTCATCTGCCTAGATCATTAAAGAGAACAATATATCTATATCAAAGAGCATTACACCCAAAGCCCGTTAGTAACAGCAACTGTATCACAAAATAGATAGTATCGATAGTATCTAGGTTACAGTTGTAGTTTGTACGAATTTTACATTTGTCTCTTTCCCTCTAATTCCCCAAAATATGTATAATAGTTTTACTATCAAGGCGTAGAAGGGACATCCTAACTTATTTATTTTTAAATTTATATTACCGACACTGAATCTGAATTCCGAATTTGAACATGGAATTTGGATTATGAATTCGAATTTCCGACTTTTTTTCTATCTGTTCTATGGTTAACTAGTATATATTTTTAAATATCTTCGAAATCGGTTAAGTGATCAAAGTTATGTTACGTTAGTACGTAAAATTCATTACTGTTTTAAAAATTGAACTACCTCTTTTTTAATTACGTTTGAATTTTTAATCTTAAATAATTCTAAAACCGTTACCGCTAGAGAAACAGTGAGCCGCCGTCCCCACAAAAGACAAAAGATTTGAAACATTTAATAGCTGACCTATTTAGGGTTTACTAAATAACAATAACATTATGTTATGACACCTGCTACTTCAAGAGCAACGGACAATGAAGTTCAAAAATAGACTAATATAGACATTTTTTAATCTATTCCTTTTCTCTTCAAAACTTTAACTTTATCTGATTGCAATAAAATATAAAAAGTTACTGAATTTCCATTTCCATCATAATCTTCTTAAGTATCAAATCGTAGCCAAATTCCATCATTTTCAATAATTTTAAATATCAAATCGTCATTTTTGTCAATATAAATACTAATACTATCTAAGTTGAACATTTTAATTTCCAGTAATGTATTGGGTTGGGAACAAAGTAATGTCCGTTTTTTTTTAATTTAAAATATATTTTTTTTTAACTGCAATTATCAATACGCTAATCAGATATGTATTCTCCACCGTTATTTATGATCTCCCAACATTCAACAAATTTCTTGGCGCCTCTTCTGTAGAATCCTCCGGTTTTGACTCATCCAACCAAGCTCATGACTCATTGTCGTTGTTGAAAGAAACACAAAGAGCGGAAGAGGCGAAAATCATTAGGCGCGAGATCGGGGGAGTAAAGCGTGTGGGGAAGCAGTTCCCAATTCAACTCCCGAATGGTCGTTTTGATCGTATTGGCGATATGTGGTAGCACATTGTCATGTTGCAAAAGAACTTGTATCGTCGATCAGGTCTTTTTCCCTTTCCAATCCCATCAGACGCATAACTTGTCCTTCGAGGCTGCAGTTTTGGTCTTGTTCGCAGAGTTACTTGTTTTTTTGGAGCTTATTTATTCTTTCCGCTGTTTCAAGTTCACGTACAGACACCATTTTTCATCACCAACGACAATACGATGAAGAAAACGTTCCATGTGTTGATCGATGACGACAGAGCAAACCAGCAGCAATTGCGGAGCGTTGATTCTTATTGCTTTTTTTCAAAATATGTGGGACCCAAGCGCCGAGTCTTTTCCCATCGAATGCAGGTTTACTACTTTTTTGTGATCACATTCCATCTCATGAGCCAATTCCTTTGTTGATTGTCTTGGATTTTCGTGAAGAAGTCAATTCCATTCCTCTTTACGCCCGGAACGATTCATATCTTTAAGGTTGACATCACCTTCTTTACGCGGGAACCATCGGAGTGGCTTTAGCGTTTTCCTTGTCTCGATTAAAAATAAAAATAAGCAAGTGCCGAAAATTAACAATTTTATCAAGTTGACATTCCATTTTAAATGAATGAAAATCCCCAAAAATGAAATCTAACGATGCAGCCAAAAACGCATTGTGATAGGGTAATTCTAATTAGTTATTTTCCGAATGACGTGTCAATTTGACAATTCATTTAATTTTCATTTGAATTTTTAAATTTGGAAAAAAACAGACATTAATTATTCCCCAGCCCATATTACAATTATTATTTATAATTTCAACGGTATTTATAACTTCTAGCTTTGAAGATACATCAATTTTTCTGCATTATGCGTCGATAATAGATTATTTTACTTGCAATTCAATAATTTTATCGCCATTTCTTTGTCTGTAACGTTTTCCGAGATTAATACACTCTTGATTATAGGCTGCTAGGAAAACTTATTTCTTCTGATTTCATATACATATATAAATTTGTTTATGTTTGTTTGTTTATCCAATGTTTTTAATAACGCAGAAGATCATAAAATGAACATACATTGTAAAATACAATGTCCAGGAAACGTCGTTTTAAACACAATCGATATAGGCATCCGGCATCCGGATAATTCCAAAGTTTTCAACTATATGTAATATAGACAACTAATACATACAAACACAGTTTGCAAATTAAAAGCAAACACATATCAATCCAAGCATCATAGGTTATATAGGCCTATAAAGTGAAACAGTTTTCACAGAAAAATTAGTAAAATAAATGACACTGACTACATGAGTGCAATATATTTTAGGAATTCTGATAATAACAATAATCATAAAATAATAAACATCGAATAGATGAAGCCAAAAAGGGAAAGATTAATAAGAATTCACATTTAGATACCTCAGCATTATATAGAAATTCCAAGAAGTTTAATAGCATTATGTTGTTGATGGATGAAAAATAAACAAATAAACATTTATTATATTAGATAATTTTAATCAATTAATTGATGGAGATTTAATGTCTAAATTTCGTTTTCATATATTTACATCATTCAATTTACGTAAATATTGGCAGTTACCAGTAAGTTCAATAAACAATATTAAACAGTTTTTATGGATGTACAGATGGCAATAACCCAAAGGTAAATGTATTGTTTTTCTATTTTATGAAGGAGATGCCATATGTGAATAATGATAATAAAACTATGATTACATTTTCATGATGTTTATAATAATATTTATATTGGTAAATTACAAACATGAGTAAAAAAATGGTACTGTCCCATTCTAAACCACAGAATTAAGCAAAAAACAAAAGGCTATTTCGAATGAACTTAGCACATAGGTATCAAGTATGCCATGTCATCTTTATTTATTATTACTTAAGTTTATTCGAAAACACCTAATAAATTGATAGTATAAAATAATAAAAACAATTACAAATTTCCAGGTCTCTTTGTTGGCTTTTTACCCCTTATGGGATGGTACGGTGACACAAACAATGGAAGAATTTGCTGGTTTATAATTCTTGCCCCAAAGGGATTGGTGCTGCTCACAGTCTTAGTGGGGATCGTTCCACTTTTAGTGGTTATATTCTTGTATTCAATAATACTTTATCACGCCATAAAGAAAATTATTCAACTCCAACAACAGACAAGAAACAGAAATAATACAAATATACAGGAAGATATTTCTTCAGGAAACATAAGGATGTTTAGAGGTGGGGGTAACACTTCAGAGAATGAAGAACAACCTCAAGTGAAAGAAAAAGGCATATTGAGATTTTTCAAGAAAAAACCATCCAGCTCGGTAAAGTCACCAAACAAGTGGAAGGCAATAAAAGTGGTACTTTTTACAACCGGTAGCTTTGTCCTGACTTGGTGCCCGTATTTCATTACAAGCCTCATATATGTCTTCAACTGTGACATCGACAATACAAGCAAAAAATGCAAAACGATGAGAACCCTAATTGCAAGCCCTTTGGCCATACTTGGTTTCATGAACAGTTTTCTTAACCCAGTAATTTATGCTTGGTGGCATAAGGGCTTCCGAACTTTCTTCAAGAAAAAGGTGAATAATTTGGTTATGCGCAGTACACATACAGACGTGGCAGACAATTCAACTTCGAAAAGCACCAGCAGTAAAAATATATCAGATGATAGTGACAAGAATAAGACATCCAGGAACAAATCTAATCTTGATGCGAGTTAGAGAAATAGTCGCCATGTTGATCCATACATATATTAATTTCTATGAAATTATGAGGAATGAAATTAATCACTGTTATGTAGGTATACATCATGGGGTAGTGCATGTATAAATCTGATTTATTATACTTAATTGTTTTGACATAATTTTTGTCATTTATATTATTATTATATGTAATTATTCACATTACATTAATGTATTATGCCGAAATCGAAATAAAACATTTATTTAACAAAGTTAATAAATGATGTGGAATATTCACACAGGGATAGTTTAACTTTAATAAATATTTGTTTTTAAATATTTTCTAAGAGATCTCTTATCAGTGACAAAATTCAATGTGAAGATTAAGTTCTTTATAGGAAAAAAATGAGCACTGGGCATATCAATTTTTGACAAAAATTACTTTTTTTAAAAGCATTCTGAATGACACGTCATCTGAAATTTGAACCGATAATTTTCAAGGAAATTAAAATAAAATAGTTTAACTCCAATAAACAATTTATTTGATTTAAACAAAAAAGATCATCAGATTTCAATCCTGTAACTTCGTTTTATTATTTTATCTTAAAATAGAGGCATTAGCAATTCTTATTTACTTGTAAACTATTTTAACACTATGTCAAAAAAAACAAAATGGAAAAGTTTTAATATTTTGTAAATGATGTCTAGAAAACAAATATGCAAAAAAAGGAAAAATAATTATAACACCTCTTCATAAATATTTTATGAATGAATAAATTTTTTCTTTCGATGTCTTAAAAACTATTCGTCTGTCACTTTTATTTTTCCTTCGCATAAAAAGAATTTAATCCTCGCATTGTAAATCTGTATAACATAAAATGATATTTTCGAAGACTGATTTTGACTAATAATATAATTCCTACAACGCTTTTGTTAGACTGTTCAATATCAAATATATCACCAACCTACTCCAAATTAGAAACATTTTTTGTGTAAATGTTTTGTCTTTATGCTTTGTTATGTGTGTGTTATATCAGCAATTATTTAGAAAACTCTATACATTTCATTCACAGTGAATTAAATAATAAAATAATATGTACTTACCTACACTTTTTAATGTTTGGAAGCAATAAACGTAATAAAAATATTTGCATTTACTTACATCACATTTTTTTGTGCAATTTTATTCTTATTTGTGTTAGATAAATAGAGATTTCTATTATTATTACTTATGTATTATTATATGAATTTATACAAATATATTATTGATAACCAGATATAATATAATTTTTTTTCATTATGTACCCATATACGGAGAGGTTTGATTAGTCGATTGTGTGAACCGACCAAGTCTGACATACATGGTATACCAAATTCACACATAGAAACACCTAGCCATCACCACCGCTGTAAACACTTTACAGATTTAAAGACGAGCTACGAGAAGCCCACATATTGAAATGAATTTTGTGAGTCGAATTAAATTGACTGCACATTACAAATTTAACATTTCCTTTTCTAATGTGCTTAATGACTAATGTATTTAATTGTCTATACAACATTGCAAACTAAATTTGAAATGAAATTATATTATTATGAAAATTTACCCCCTTAATCAGCATCACATAAAACCTTTATATCTGAAATTTCATCAAATTATAACAGAATAATTTTTTTTATCAAAGGAACTTTTTACCCATTATTATCGAAATGTGCTTAAGGGTTATCATGTACATATAACCTGGCAAATATGTCATGCCTTATTCCCATACTAATAATCTACTTTATTTTCTACTCAAATGCTTAAACCTGCTGACTTGTGTTAGTGACTAAACCAGGTATTAGCAGCGATCAATTTCACACAATGTATTAGGCAACCAACAATATTAGATACATAAAAAAAAACAACTACTTGCTAGTAAAAAATGTTCATCGGTTCACCGAATAATCACACAACTGTTAGATCATGATTTTATCAAAAAAAAATCATCAACATCTTCAAATATTTGATTTAGGTGTGCAAACTAAATTTTAGCATGTATACAAATAAGTTTGATTTGCTAATATATTTACTTGAACCAAACTACTCACCAGAAGTCTGTTTGTCACTCAATGCATCAGAGCTAATATCTTTACTATTATCAGACGTAGAAACTGTCCTTTCTCTCTCCCACTCCTGTTGCATCCCAGGATAATTCACTTGCTCAGTATTATATCCTACATCTGTGGTACATAAATTGGAGTAACTAGTACTGGCAAGTGGAAGTCTTTGTGAAACTGAATATAGGGCACCCTGACTTGAGGATAATTCTTCCGTTTGCACGTAATCGTCATGGGTTCTTCCCTGGTATTCGCTGATCATAAAAAAAATATTGGTTAACGTGAAAATTAAATGAAACAATAATAACTTTACCTAAACTGGTCCACAGAGTAATCAGAATTCTGTGTATTGCTGTACACCCTATTCCTGTTGAATTCCACTGGTATAACAGTCACATTGTAACTATTTGATTGGATAACGATTTGCTGTGTCTCATTCTTCTCTGAATTTGAATCCATTTTCATTTTTCCCTTGAGAATATTTTTTGAATGCTTACATATTCTTTAAGTATGTATGTAAATCAACTGCAGTAAAAATCAATACACGGGATGCATTTATGTGGATGTGTGGGAGGTTATTTTTCATGGTCAACAGGTACACTGGTTTACTAAAATGGGAAAATCACGTTAAACGTTTACGTTTACATAATTAAAATTGTCATAACACATTCATAATGCACTGACAGATATCATTGTTGACCCGCCATGTTTGTTTATGTTTTGTTTTTGATTTAAATTTCGCTAAAGAAGAACGACTGTCTCAAAGGTGGCGCTACAAAGCAATACCATTTTTAAAAAAAGGGAGGAACTAGAAAGGAAATTTTAAAAAGAATGAATTGAAATTAGGATTGATTGATGATTGTATAATCTAAAAATGGTTTGTGATAATGTGTAAATAGATAATTATGACTAGACATAGCCTGTTTTCCAAATACAATAACTACAAGAAATCAATTTGTTTATGAAAATAATTCGCAAATTTAGATACCTAAATATCATTTAAAAAAATATACCAACCATTCCAACTAAAAAAAACAAGTTGTACAAGCGAGACAAGTCAAACAAATAATTCTAAAATAATCAAGTAGGTACCTATATTATGTAGGACTATGTTAACAAAATTATACCACATAACTAGTTTATTATAAAAAAATAAATTAGCTAGACATAAGTATAGGTACATACATTATAAATTGTAAATAAGTTCATATTCCATTATTTTAAAAATATCTGATTGCAGCAAATGTCTATATGAGAATTTCAAAATATAACAATAATTGTGCATGTCTCTTTATATACTGTATGTAGATTATGCCCAATTTTCAAAAATTAAAAAATTCGACGAGGATGGGATTCGAACCCACGCGGGCAGAGCCCATTGGATTAGCAGTCCAACGCCTTAACCACTCGGCCACCTCGTCTTGTAGTTGCGTGTTTTCTTAGTGATATATGAGCCAGACATTAGAAATATACAACAGATAATTTATGATAGTTATCACTTTTATATCAATATCTTTCTAACAAGTTCCATAAATTTCCCACATAAATAATAAAAGATTCAAAAACTTCGAGCCTCACAAAAATGCGCAGGAGTATTACTGGTTGCGTTTCTATAACAACAAAAACAAAAATGAATACAAAACAAAATCACCCCCGACAGTTGGGGTGGAATAACCAGTTACTGTGCGTGTTGTTTACGTCATAAATTTTAATTTATGACCATAATTTATTGAATTTAAATATACATGCACAGGTATGGATTTTATTGCTTTCTAATTTTGTCGTGTGAATGAATGATTTTCAAATTATCTATAGGTACCTACATATTTTTAATGACTATTCTCTAATGGCATACGTACCTACCTACTTATTTGAAATTATTGAAAGTGAAAATGTAAACAGTGTAAAACTATGAATGTTCTTTATTCGTACCTAATTCAAGAGTTTGTAGTAAGTGTATTGATTTGTAGATAGCTTATTTTCACACTGTCTCATAGAAAGGTGTCTCTTAACAAGGGAAAAAATAAAATGTATTATTAAGTTTCCTTAATTATTTTTATTTAGTTACTGATCATAACTTAAAAATGTATATATGATTATCGTGTAACAATAATTTTAATAATTGAAATATTTTACACATCGAAATTTTACATGTCCTTTACCATTTTTTTTAATAGACTCGGTAATAAAGAATCATACATTTTTTAAATATATAATATAAAATAAATGATGGTGCTTAATTTATGGATATGGATACGTATTTTTAAGTTGATAGAATACGTCAACAATTGATTGAATATTCATTTTATTAACGAAATGACACCTTGTTGATAAACATAAAGAATATCCATCCAACGACATAAAATGCCGTCTTATGGATTTTCTTACATTGCATAATATCTATTTGGGTAGTAACCAAATAGGATGTTTTATGGATGTTTAATTTATAATATTCATTTAAGTTCATAGAAATACATCTTATGAACGTCCATAATTGGGATAATCATTTTATTAATGAAATGAGGACACTTTATGGATACGCTGATACGCATAATAAGGGTGTCCAACAAAACTACAGAAAAGGATGTTTCATGGGTTTGTTTAGTTCAGATATCCCTTTGGACAGCCAAAGATGGATATTTAATTTATGGATATCCATTTCAGATATAAATAAGAATTCCATTTCACATATGACTACCTATGTCCTTAATTGCAGTATTCCTTAAAGTAAGAAAAACAGTATAATAATATCCAATTAAAGTGAAGAAAAGAACGAATTACGGATGTATTTTAGGCGGACGTCCATCTGTATACTAAAACATAAACTAATTTAATAATAAACTAAATAAATAAATAAATAAATAAATAAATAATATTCTTTGGATAGATATCCAAATAAGCGACATATTATTCGTTTCAGCTCATAGATATAACATGAATATCCTAAACAGATCCATAATTCTCAATACTAAGAATAAACAAAAAACCATAGAACATCATGTGCTAGGGGTCATTCTTATCTAGCGATCAGTTTTAAACAAATAATGAATAGCCAGAAAACGGCTTAATTTACATTTTTCGTATCACTGACTCGATAGCAATAGTCAATTCCATAGACCTTTTAGATCTCATACTTTTAACCTCTCATTATTTTTATTTGGTATATGAGAAATTAGTGAGGTGTAATTGGAATACCAGAATAATTGTTAACACGAAGCTGCTGAGCAATTTCAAACATCTATATAAGAAGAGTCTACAACTTATTAGTGAATCGATATTGAAGGAAATATGCAACATTTTTTACATTGTTGGGATAACCGATAAAACCCCGTATTTCAATGGGGATTATGACCATTCCCATTTTGGCCGGAATACCTTCTATGTTTTTATATGTCTTTTTATATGTTCCTTCCATTTGAGTAAGATATGAACTGAATGGTCATAGATAAAACATTTATGTGAAAACAGGGCTATTAGGTTAGGTTACATTATCGCTCTGTTCTGAGCGACCCTGACCAACAACTGACCCACATCCAGGCGAACAATTTTGCATTTGCATGCTGCCGGATAAGTTAATAGTTAATCGACATCATGTAGCACGTCTAGCCTATTTTTTACATCGAAGTTCTGTCAGAATCCGCAGGAGATGTTCCACGTTTCGACACCATGTAAGAGTTTAAAGAGTTATGTTAAGGAGTGAGTGCGCCCTAGCGACTTGGCATTTGTGTCATTGATATGAAATGTCAAGCAAAGATGATAGCAGCTGCTATTTGGATAGGTGACAGAAACTATACAAAATTAGGTGAGATTTGTATAGAAAGACATAACATCCCTCGGAAAAAAAGTTTAGGTAAGTAAAAGATACCTACCTTACCAGAAAGAACCCGCTCTTTCTGGAAAATGAGTTATATTAAATTTTCATATTAAGGAAATGCAATAAAATAAAGGCTACATGCATGGAAACTCCATATGGATGTGACGCCCATGTATATTTTTCTTAAGATCACGCCAAGTAGGCACTCTTAGGTTTCTTAGTATAAAAATATTAACATTATATTCGAGACAAGTTTTAATAGAAGAATGATAAGTATGCAATTGCACTTGTCCCGTTGCTCATAGTTAAATTTGTTCCACTGTCGATGACTTGCCACTAGGTCTTGCTCGTTATTGATAAATGGTTGAGCGTACACCTACTATAAGCTGTTTACGTATCCTCACATAAGCTGTTTACGTATCCTATCGGCGTAAGATCCGAACTCTTTGCGAGTCCGAAAAATGAAACCGCCGTGACTTAATAATTTGTTTAAAATAATATTTTCAAATATTGTGTTTCGTAGAAACATAAACAGCTTCTGGTTCGGTTCTTTTCTCTTCAAAAACAGTTTTTGTACTGAAATTATCATGAATATGATGTTGGTAAGTCTGTGATCGAAATGGACATCAATCAATATATGACAGACCCATTATGTGTGTTGCAGGCTACTAAAAATGCGTGTAAATGTGGTATTCTGCAATAAGACTTCAGGCTTTACCAGTTTCCCATCCTATTAATCTGTATGGCCTTGTTTGTTAGAATGATTTACTTTTACTTTTAAATATCGTCTGTGTTCAATTTCTCCTATCGATTCTGCAGATATAAATCTTTTTGTTGAATTTGATGTAAATATTAAGTAGGTACCTAATTCTAATAAATTTTCACTTTCTTCGGTGTTATTTAAACTTTCCTGAAAATTATTGTTATTTTCTTCACGTCTCTATGAACCACAATTTTGTTAATATTGCATGCCATAACGATAACCGTTAAGTGCATTTTTATAAATAAAATTTTTTCACTTTTTCAGTCAACTTTTTGAAGATAATCTAACGTTTTTATAATATATTCTAAAACTGTAGTCTTGTAAATTCAATTTGGTACCAGTCCAACACTCTATCGGAGTCTTGTACAGAATTTCTGTTCAACTTCTGTTTAACAAATATGTAGGTTGTAATACTGAATGTTGATTAAATGGGGCAAATGGTATTTCTTTTTAATTGTGTACATAATCTTTATTTATTCTAACTAGTTTCCGCTTATTACTTTATCATCAGAGAAAAAATGACAGTCACATAGAAGAGAATGATCTCTTTAATTGTATTTTGTTAATTAAACTTTATATGCATTTTATAAATTAGCGAAAACATCGTTGATCTTTTTCAGCTCATCGCTTGTATATAAGTGTGAAGGAATTAATTAATTATGATTAATGATATTTTCATTAATTTACAAAACTTATTACTAAAATAGTTAAATGAAGATATTCTCTTCTATTCTAGTTATAAATAAATAAAGATTTGTACCTACTGAATTAAAAAGGATTCTAATTTGTCCCTTCATATTTATTGTATAAGTAATGATTTGATTTTTTTATAAATATATGTAATTACTTGCGTATACTGATACATAGCGGCTATCATTCGTGAAATTAATACTCGTAGCTACCTCCTTGATTAATTATTTGAAAAGTAATTAGAAAAGTCTCGGACAATGCAATTAAAAATACAATAAAAATTAACGAATACCTAATTTGCCAATTTTGCCTTGTTAAACTATATAAAATTGATTTTTATAACCACACAGATGTAAGTAATCTGTTGAAATATTTTCAATATAACCATAATCCAGTGGCGGCTCGTAGGGTGACGCAAGTG